CTTAAAACTGTTCTTAAATATGTCTCGAATATCCAAAAATACTCTTTAAAAATCTGTAGCAAAGGAGACTGAACAAACAATAGTTATTATCCTTAATACTATGTTGTAGACCATTACTGTTTTTCCAGCCCATTGGATGTCTACTGTAAGACAGTTTCTTCTAGCCAAGTTTCTTGAACGTGCTGATGAAAACACCACATGTGGCAAGTGTCAAAGCTTGTTTAAATGACCATATAGCACATCTACTGTTTCCTCTTTATCCACTAAATTGCCTATCTTGTCAGTGAAGGAAATTATATTGCTTCAACATAATTTACTCCTGGTAATTCTATGATGGATTTTTTTCCATCTTATTATCATCTAGGTGTTGATAAATTGATTGTTTAATAATTTGTTCTAGTACATTTCTGGGAATTAAAGCTGGGCTGACCTGATACTTTTCTGGGTCCTACTCTTCTTAAAAATAGGTATAACGCCTCCCCATACCCACTGGTTTTCTACCTTATATGACCTCCATAAGTTCTTGAAAACAATCACTACTAGTCCACACACAGATTCAGCTACTCCTTTAAACACTCCAGGGTGAATCTCATCATACCATTTCCACTGAATTCAGTTATTCAAATACTGGTTAGCCAATTCATTTATTCCATACCCTCTGGCTAAAATTGATTTTCTTAAATAGCTGGTCAACTGACCTCTTTTGTTAAAGCAAAAGAAGCCTTTTCTATAAGGTCTACTATCTGCTCTCCTTTCCTGCTAAGTAACAGCAGTGTAAAAAAGCAGAGGAAGTTATTCTAATGACAATCTTTTTGTTGCCTTTTATACTGTTATGTGCCTTAGCTTTTCTCACATCCTGTTAAATGACTTTGCTGTTCTCTTCTACTCGCTTCCAGTCATGAGGTTTTGATTCCACACTTTGTACAATTCCTTTTCACTTTTCAGGGTGTTAAAGAAACTTAATGGTCCCATATTATTCATTTATTTTACATCTGCTTCAGGAGAATTTTCTGTTCTACCTTAAGCACAGTCCATGCAAGATTTTCTGCTCTGCTTTTGTCCCTAAAATTTCTTTCCAAGAGATCCTATTTACCAGTTCTCTGAGCTCATTAAAGTGTGTCCTTTCTAAAATCAAAATCCATTATCCCATTTCTACTGCTCTCAGTCCTCCCTTTTCACAGTGAATATTTCGAGATGCCTAAATTTTTAACCAATGTTTCTCTTAGTCAAAATCAAATCTAAAGTAGCCACTTCCCTCTTAACTTTCTCCATGTTGTGGGTTGACCACAGCTAAGTACCCACACAATCACTATCTCTCTCCCCTCCCGTTGTCCCCTATTGGGATGAGGGAGAGAATAGGAAGAGCAAAAGTGAAAAAACCTCATGGGTTGAGATAAATGTGGTTTAATAAGGGAAACAAGGAGCGGCAAAAACAACTGATGCAAAGACAATTACTTTCCATCTCCCACAAGCAGACAGATGCCCAGGCAGTCTCCAAGCAACAGCTACTTTGGAAGGAAACACCTCCCCAGTTTTTATTTCTGAGAATGATATATGATATAGAATATCCCTTTGACCAGTTTGGGTCAGCTGCCTCAGCTGTATTCCTTCCCGAGGTATTGCCCACACCCAGCCTATTCATTGGGAAGGCAGAATAGGAAAAAGTGAAAGCCTTGGGGCTGTGCAAATGCTGTTCAGCAACAGCCAAAACATTGCTGTGTTTTAGTAACGAATCCAAAACATGGCACCATATGGGTTCCCATGAAGAAAGTTAACTCCATGCCAACCAGATCCAGTACAAAGTTTTGAAATCAGTAAATGTTCTCAACATTGTAAAGAACTTTATAAGCCGTTGATCTCCTCACATATTAATATGCTAACAGATACTGAGATAATGAAAGTTCTCCATTACCATCAGACTCCTGTTATTTGCTCAAAAAAAGCTTCTCTTAATTTTCTAGAGAATTAGTCTGTACTAGATCCATGAAAGGACATGACCTAAGATCTATTTACCAGTTCTCTGAGCTCATTAAAGTGTGTCCTTTCTAAAATCAAAATCCATTATCCCATTTCTACTGCTCTCAGTCCTCCCTTTTCACAGTGAATATTTCGAGATGCCTAAATTTTTAACCAATGTTTCTCTTAGTCAAAATCAAATCTAAAGTAGCCACTTCCCTCTTAACTTTCTCCATGTTGTGGGTTGACCACAGCTAAGTACCCACACAATCACTATCTCTCTCCCCTCCCGTTGTCCCCTATTGGGATGAGGGAGAGAATAGGAAGAGCAAAAGTGAAAAAACCTCATGGGTTGAGATAAATGTGGTTTAATAAGGGAAACAAGGAGCGGCAAAAACAACTGATGCAAAGACAATTACTTTCCATCTCCCACAAGCAGACAGATGCCCAGGCAGTCTCCAAGCAACAGCTACTTTGGAAGGAAACACCTCCCCAGTTTTTATTTCTGAGAATGATATATGATATAGAATATCCCTTTGACCAGTTTGGGTCAGCTGCCTCAGCTGTATTCCTTCCCGAGGTATTGCCCACACCCAGCCTATTCATTGGGAAGGCAGAATAGGAAAAAGTGAAAGCCTTGGGGCTGTGCAAATGCTGTTCAGCAACAGCCAAAACATTGCTGTGTTTTAGTAACGAATCCAAAACATGGCACCATATGGGTTCCCATGAAGAAAGTTAACTCCATGCCAACCAGATCCAGTACAAAGTTTTGAAATCAGTAAATGTTCTCAACATTGTAAAGAACTTTATAAGCCGTTGATCTCCTCACATATTAATATGCTAACAGATACTGAGATAATGAAAGTTCTCCATTACCATCAGACTCCTGTTATTTGCTCAAAAAAAGCTTCTCTTAATTTTCTAGAGAATTAGTCTGTACTAGATCCATGAAAGGACATGACCTAAGATTTTTTTTCTCCTTAAAGTTCCCTCAGAACTTTCCACAGGTCTCTCTCTCATCCCTTTTTTCTCTGTAGAACAAGTATTTATGAGAAATCATTCAGAAGCTAAGAGGTGGAAGTGCATGTAAAGGCCAGAAACCACAGAACATCCTCAAAAATCTTTTGAAATACTGACAAAGGGACACAGTAGACCATGGCTACCAGTAATACCTAGAGTTTAACAGCTTGCACTTCACAGTAATGATAAAACAGGGGTTCTCTTCTCCAAAAATAGTATTTCTATCACTTTAGCTAAGGTCAACTATATCATAAAGCTTCATATTACTCTTATGTAGCACACAAACTCAGATCTAAATCATCCTGCCTGTCTCATTCCGAGATCCCACCCTTGGATTTCCGTCTGAAGCTTTCAGACCAGATCAGGCTTGAAAAAGTCGTGCTCAGGTATCTCTGATTTCAGCACTGAGCTGTTGTTCTCAGAGCCAGTCTATCTGTATTTCAGCCACAGTGGAAATCGGCCTTAACTCCTCTCATGGATCTGGAGTATAAATTCTATAGTACTTTTATGACAACTGAGGTTTATTGAGCAGAAATGCATGTTTGTCTCTCAATCCCCTTAACAATCTGGAATGCTTCACTAAGCTTAATTGATTTTAGAAAAAAAAAAAAAAAAGACAAGACGGGGGGGTTTCTTCAGTTTGTACAAGCTGAATGAAAAAGGGCACCTGGGAATAAGAGAGAGGCACTATACCAGTGCCCTCCTGAACACCTGAGGAAGAATTCCAGTCTTGTTAGAAGTTGGTTCTCACCCTTGACACACAGATCAATAGGAAACCAGTTCTGTTGCTCTGAAATTATTAGTTCTTTCACCAAAGCATAAGGATTAAAAATTGAAATAGCACTCAATTTTACAAAAAAGAACAACAAAAAAAATTGATTGTAGTACCAGAAGTGGAGACATTAATAAACACTTCACAAATCACCACACCAATCTTATTGTCAGTAGGTTTAGTAAATGACAGATTTATGATTTTATTGTGCACTTCATTATAATTTTATTAAATATTACACTTTTATATGGGTCTAAAGTCTGCTTCTTTTCTCCTGCATGTCCATTTTCACTTCAGAAAAAGAGAAAAGGAGGTGTGGAGGGAAAATTAAATTACCAGTGCATAAAAAAAAAAGATAAACATCCTTTTAATGCAACACATATTTAAATCCAAAGCTTGAATGCTAGACTGAACACTTGGGGGAACCTAACATTCACCAAACAAACCCCAGTGACTTTAAGGTCCCTGGAACAAAACCTGTGCAAGGCGATTGAGTTCTGCTACTTCATCCTAAAGTAGTGTCACTGTCAAATATCTTTTCAAATAGCTTTTTAGTATAGCAAGACTCTACGTGTAACACAGTTCACAATTTAAAGCCACAGTCCTCTCCTTTGCGTTGTTCTTGCATTGGCAAACAATATCCATGATGTGAACTGCAAGAAGGCAGAGACCAGCTTTTTGGCCTCAGTAAAACATAAGGTACTTTCACTAAGAAGTAAAATTCTGGTCTGATTGATTTGGTTTTATCTGTTCTTCTGAATGTCTGTGTTATCATTTAAATATCGTAAGTATTTTATTTTTTCTTTTACAGCAAACAAACTCTGGTGTTTGTTTCCAACTAAAAGAGGGACATTATGTGCATATTGTGATCTTTGATCACTGTGATCAACTATCAGTCAGGAGTTTTGTTTGCTGGGCTAACTCCTAGTTGGCATAAGTTAGTTTTTTAAGATGGGCATCGCATGGACAGTTTTTATATCTGGAAGTTTGAACATTTTTCTGTGGAGTGAGTCAAGAGATGATACACATAGTGTCAGACACTACAATATTGGCTCTTCTACTCACATTCAAACCCTTTCTGTGTGTACAGGAGCTTGATTATATTTCGTGCAAACATCAAAGGGTGAATGAAAAAAATTCCTTAGTCTTGTTCGTGGGCTACACAGTGACATTGGCAGATACATTTCAGATGCTCATAATTTTTCTAATAAAACTTGAATTGTATTAAGTTAAGGTGAGAAATCTCACTTACCTGTAAAGTGCTGAAAGTGGCCGCTTGTTGCCAGGTTTTGGTCTGTATGGTTTTGGTTCTCCTGCCATGTTGATATCTGAAAGCAAACATTTGATATTAGTGAGCCAAAGGTCTGGAAGTTAAAGTGAGTTTACAAAGGCACTTTCCAGTCACTGAAAATGAATAACAGACAGTGGAAAGGGACAGCATACTGAAAACACCTATCTAGTTTTTACCACTTCTGAATTGATGCTATAAAACTTTGCTAAAAATTCTTACTGTAATGCATGAGGATATTAGGCTAAATGTCAGTTATTGGTAACTGACATTTTTTAAACATCCATGACTTTCCATTCATGAAGCTGAAGCCAGTAATGTATTTATATTACAGAAGGAGACTTGAATGGTAACTTAAATGTAGAAGCAACCTATGATCGCAAGTCAAATTCTGTTGTGGAGGACTATAATGGTCCTGAAGAGTTCCCATTTAGGATCTAGAGAAGTGCACATTGATATTTAACTTCCACTTCACTACCCACTCAAAAAAAGATTTTTCAAAAACAGATGAGAGTATCTCTTTCTTACCTCAAATATGTCTTTTTTTTTATTTTTTTTTTTTTTTTAGGTTCTGAGTATAAAAACACACCGGCTTCAAAAATTGTGTGGAGAAAGAGAAAACCTGGTTTTGCACATACTTTGTCTTAGGCAGATACTTATAATTCTCAACGCCGCCAGAAATCTTGTGCATACTTCTAAAAACTTCACTTACCTTATGCCTGTGTATTTAGCCTTGAAATTTAAAAATACGTGAAACTTATATAGACATTAGTCATGCTGGTTCTCAAAGTACTATCTTCTTTTGAATCATACTCAAAGACATACCAGGAAATACATGTCCAACATTTTGATTGCTTGTTGCAGTTACACATGAAAAAAGAAGCACAGACCCTTCTATGGACAATACCTTGAGTGAGCTCAGAAAGCTGTCTATATAAACAGAAACCTATACTAAAAAGACACACACACCTCCCTTGCCCCCAGTTGGGTGTGGCAAAGTTGGCATTAGAAAAAATCACATGGATAAAGTAAAACTTCTGATTAGGAAACAAATTCCCTGCCATCTAAGTGATCTTTCTCAGTTTCACTAATATATAAAAGAGTAACATTCAACAAAATCATCGGAGTTATTTCAGTGTAAAATTGCTGTGACAGAACAACGTATCCCATTTACCATTGAATCACCTGGTGATCAAGACTTTCAAGGAAGCACATGTTCTTGGCAAAGTCTATGTTTAAACTGAAATTGAGTGTACTGGAGGGAAAAGAGAAGTAGACAGCTGAGGTGTAGAATGAGGAAGCATCACTGCCCACCACAGTGATGCTAAAAGCCCAGACATTTTTATTTAAGCTACTCTTGATCTCAAAGCTGCAGTAAAAGCCTGAGATAGCACTAAAAGACTGGATGATTTTATTTCACATAAAGTGGAAAAAATAATCCTTCTGACTTTTTTTCTTTTTAACAGTAAGAAACATTGAAAAATGTGTGTCCCACAATTTTTTTGACTGAAAAGATTTTTTCCATTGGAAATTTCATGCTTCAAACATTTCGGATAATTTAAAAAAATATTTTACATTTAAATTTAATATTTTGAGCTAAAACAACATTTATTTAAAATTATAAACTGTCCTTAAATGAAATGTTTTTGCATAGAACTATTTCATGTAGAATATACTTTTTGGTAAAATTTTCTCCATATAAAGTATTTTGGAATTAAAGCTGACTGTAGTTTTCTAGGTGCTGTATTAGTCTTAAATCGTAGTTTTCTATAAAATATTAAATTTCTTGTATTACTTATCCCTCTGATGTTGGATGAACATTGGAGACAGTTTTCATTCCTCCTTGAAGTGCTTTCCTGCCCTTAATTTTAAGCAAGTGCTTTATTAAATATATATTAATCTTCCTCTTCCCTGGTTGTTAAAAATTCAGCTACAATTCACTTATTTAAAGAAATATAAATTCTACTAATATTGACCCAACAAAGTAAACATCAAGCATTTCTGAAAGCCACTGAGGAATTTTGATAGCTGTGCTGCATTTCCATTGGCTCCTGAAAATTACAGAATTGGAACAAAATTTTTATCCTGTGACCTTTATGGTAATTAGACCTTTCCACACTATTTGAATATGTTAGCTTTAAGGTTGTTGGCTGTATTGACTTTCACCACGTCCTACTACAACTAGGTCAGATTTTAGGGAAAAAAAAGTAGAATTGTAATCTGTTCTTGGAAAATACCCGAGGCTGTGGGATTCATCTTCACATATTTTTCATGTCTCTCATCTGCTTCTCTTTCAGAGCTACAGCCCAGGTCACTATTCTTAGGCATATGAACATCAAAGGAATTTAAAAACTTTTTCACATCCTTCTGGGACAGATCAGTACTCTCTTGATGATTATTCTTGTAGACCTACATTTGCAGCTCTACAACACCCACTTTTAACAAAGATGACTAGTGTAGAAGACCAAGGCCTGTTTGTTATGTGTTCCCTTTATTTTAATCAAATACTGTCAGGAAGGTAACGCTGTAAGAGAACACAGCTGTAAAGCTGTTCAGAATCAGTTAAGAGTTCCTTGCACTTAAATAAATCTCTAAATGCACCAGCTGAAAACTGAACTATGTTACACAGGCAGTAATAGCCAGAATTTCTCTTTAACACAGGAAATAGCTCATAGAAAACCTGTGCACATGGGGCTTTTCTGTTAATATGAAAGTGATTGAATAGCTCTGTGACTCCCTAAGCACCTTGTAGTAAGTTAGGAATGGATGTAAGAAATGGTTTGAAAAGTTAGAACCGATTTTCACCCCATTATTTTTCAGCACTATCTACTCCAACCTCAATTTTCTAACTAGGATTAGAAGTGAACTTGTCAACATTTCACGGGATAGATTATTTCTAGCCCAACTGGAAATCTTGTGAGATAACTTGTTCTCTTGCTCCATCCATCATTAGTTTCACAGCAGACATTTACATCTACTAGGTCATAAACTGTGTGTCAAATAAATGTGTTGGCTGCAGCACAGAGATTTACCTGCACTCATGATTCCACCCCAAGGAATGCAGAGTCGTATCACTCCTTATTCTGTAAAATTAGCTACTGAACTTGTACATGAATATGAATCAGACAACTTGACAAAGGACACAGACATTCACAGTGCTTCTATATGGGAATGGAGCAGTCCAGGGACTCTCACAGTATTTTCTCTGATCATATACTATAAAAGTTCAGTTAGATATCAACATTAAGATAACTTCAACACTGAAGTTCAAAATATTAAGGAATCACTATGAATAGGAAAATTACTGTGCAGATAACAGCACGTTGTAATGCAGCAGCCTGTTCTCTCTTGTTTTCAGAATCTAATGAGATTACTTTATATAAAGAAATGCTTCTTCAGTTCTATCTATTCTTGTTAGCACAGCAGAGGTTAGTTAAGGTATGAGCTCTAGATTTCATTCAAGTAGAATATATCTAATTTTAAACATGGTATTTTATTTCTAATTATACTGAACAGTGAGTAGCAATTAATGAGAAAAAAATGACTTTAAAAAATATGCAAACCATTTAGAGAGAGTAGTGATTGTATTCAGCGGCTACACAAATTTATCTGAAAGAGCAACTCAACACAACACGATCTACTTTTCTCCTGTCAGGGTTGCCTACTGCTGCCTGACTACCTCCTCTGGGCTGCATAGCAATGACCAAGGAAACTCTGGTGCATGAACATCCCAGTTTTGGAGAAGCAGTATCAGCCAGCCTTGAGGCTTTGCTCACAGCTTCACTGCCAAAGCAACCTGAGAATCTGGTCCTGAAGACAACAGTTGCCTTTAAACAACCTTTGTAAGTGTAAGCAGTGATACCTAAAGAGTATTCATACACTAGAAGTATTTCAGTGCTTCTAAGTATACATACTCATCAGATTCTTTGAGAAGTTTTATTAAAAAAAAACAACAAAACCAAAACCAATCAACCATCTTGGTTCACAATAACAAATGCCATAAACTAGCTCAACAGGCACTAACCCAACCCATGAGAACTGGGATTTTGAGGCTTTCTGTGGCAAATCCAGGACCTATATCTCAGGCTACATCTATACCATAAAATTAAATAGTGCCCTTCACAGGCACTAGTACTCAGTTTTCTCTTGTATTAAATTGTTACAGTGGTTCCTGGCATGACTTTTAGCTCCAGTTAACAAGAACTTTCCCATGCAATTTCTAGTTATAGATAGAGAACTGACATGAGCTAGGGACCATTGCAAATTGGCATTTTGGTTGTGGTCGCTCTGCTTTGCAGTGTAAGACCCAGTGAAAGAGGAGGGTTCCAAATACCTATAAAGTATTACTGATGTGGCCTCTGAGTGTGGGCTCCATGTCAGAAAGGCTGGGAAGCAAGACTTGGAGCTAAGAAAACTTTAAGGACCTCTGTAACTCAACAGGTACTTTTCTAAGACTTTTTTCATTGGATGATCTTCCACCCATTCTTGTAAAAGGTTGCAGAAACTGAAACATCCCTTGAAAAATCTCACAGTTGGTTGACTTAAAATTTTGGATGAAAAAGCGTGTCATTGCGTGCTTCCAGACCAGCTCTGCTTTATACTAACCTTTAATGGAATAAACGGTAATTAAAATTAATGTACAGAGAAAGAATTCACACAATGAATGTATAATTTATATCCAGACAGAGATATGGGTATAGGCAGATCAGGATGCATTTCCTCCTTTTTCAGATGACCCAAAGTATATGGGACAGAAGAGGAAGATCAAGAGGTATGTTCAATTTAGAGAAAGCCTCTCATCATGTGATTTACAGCATAAATGAACACCAGCAAAGCTAATGGTAATCTATCTTTCCTTTATACTCTTCCATCTACCAGTCCTATAAATCTCCCTGCTGCGTACTAAAGGAATTTTAATGAAGTCATATGACATTTTTTACATCATAGACTTCCTTTTTTCTTTACATGTGACATTAATTGCATGTCATCTCCTCCCTTTTCCCCATGTCTAGCACTGAAATTTGAAAAAAATTGGAGAGG